TGCATCTTTCTATACTTTCAGATAATCTCTTATGATTCCAGGTGTGACAATGAGCATTTCTTATCTCTTTCTCAGGCTCTGAAGGTTGTAGGCAGCTTGGGGTGAACATGGATGGGCCAGGTGTGAAAAAGCAGGTATAACAAGCCATAGACTGCTAGCTTAATTAATAGCAAACAGCATTCATGTTGCTTTTGGAATTTTAAATGAAAGCACATATCTTATAAGGCATGGGTGTCAAATGTACAGCCCGTGGGCCAGAACTGGCCCACCTAAGGCTTTAATCCAGCCAATGAGCAAGTAGGCTTATTATGCCTTGGCTCTGCTAAGTACAACTGCTCCACCTCCCCCTGACCTCCTCCATGTTTTGCCTTGCTACAGTGGGTGTGGCTTTCTTACCCCCCCCCCCCCGGGCTCCTTCTGCATTGGCTCTGCTAGGTGCAACTGGCTCTGCCTCCCCCTCACTTCCTCCTCCACGCCTTCCCTTGCCACAGTGGGTCTTTCTTTCTTTCTTTTGCTGGGTGCCTTCTGCATTGGCTCTGCTGGGTGCAACTGGCTCTGCCTCCCCCTCACCTCCTCCGTGCTTTCCCGTGCCACAGTGAGTCTGTGTTTGTTTATTTCTTTCTTTTTTTGCTAGGTTCCTTCTGCTTTGGCTCTTCTGGGTGCAACTGGCTCTGCCTCCCCCCCCTCACTTCCTCCCTGCTTGTCCCCCCCTCAAGGACTTCCTCCCTGCTTTGCCTTGCTACAGGGGGTATGTGTGTTTCTATCATTTTTTTTTTTTTGCTGGGCTTCTTCCGCTTTGGCTCTGCTGGGTGCAACTGGCTCTGTCTCCCCCTCACCACTTCACTTTGCTACATTGGATATGTGTGTTTCTCGTTTTGTGTTTTTTTTGGCTGGGCTTCTTCATGTTGATTTCAGAATGGGGAAGAAGGGTTGTGGCTCAGTTGGAGAACCTCTGCTTGGAATGCAGAGAGTCCCCCTTTCTATCTCTAGCACCTCCAGTTAAAAGGACCAAGCTGTGGTTTGTGAGAAAGACTTCAACCAGAGATCCTGGAGAGCCACTGTCACCCTAAGTAGACCGGGGGGGGGGGGGGAAGCTCACAATGCCCAGCCATTTAATGATTTCTCCTGGGCCTTAGGCTCAGAGCATTGACCATGAGAGTGGGCTAGGGAAAGGGTTTGCTCCTCACTCCAGGCAGCACAGGGGCATCAGCCCAGTGCTGCACTGCTGGCTCTCCAGTCTGCCTGTGTGGGTTTTCCTCTATACCTGGGGCCTTGCAGTGAGGGCACTGTTGTGGGAAAAAATAAAATGGTTCAGAAAATTTAAAACCCATTTATATAATTAATTTCATAAAGAAATCATAGTGTTCTTTCTCGCCTCTATTTCTGTAAAGCAGCACAGTGAAGATGATCCCCAACATAATTTTGCTAGGCCTTTGTCTCAAGAGATATCTTTCCTCCATCTTACACAGGAACCAACATTTGCATTTCATTGTTCATGAACCTAAAGAATTTGGAAACATTTAGAGCTAAAGAATTTGGAAACATTTAAGGATAAAAGATTGGTATGCACCATAAGTTCGTGTTATCCCCCTGCCATTAAGTCAAGGAAGCCAGGATATTTGCAACACTAAGGCTTGCCTACATGCAGAAACTCACTACACATCTCCAGTCTCCAGACAGTGCCTGAATGTCTGCTTGGGGTCAAGGAAACAAAGAACATCCAGAAATTGTAACATTCTTGTCTTTGTCATTTAGAGATTTAGGTGCTATCTTGCTTTGTTTTGCAAAGGAGCATCAGGATGCCCCATTGCCTCTGGAATGTGTGAAACATCTCCTGGGCCCTGATGGCCCATATTAACAGGGCAATTAGATTAATTGCTGCAGTTTATGATTTCTATGGTTCTGTTGAAATATATGGGACCAAAATGGTATAAAAAAGGGCCAGAAGCTTCATTTGAGCACTGGCTCTGGGAGAGATACAGGGAAGGCTTTGTCTTTCGTGGTCTCCCTGGGTCAGTCCAGAAAGCTTTCTGTGCATGGGAAATCTTTGTTATATATATGTATCCACTGACTGTCTTTTTTTCTTTTGAAGTAAGTATTCTGTTTTGTATTGCTTGCATGTCTTAGCTAATAAACTATTTTATTGTTTAAATAACCTTGTGTAGCATTCCAGCTAACTTTCCTTTAACATTCTACCCGCCTTGGTAAGGGGCACACACCAGACCATTACGAATCAAGAGGTGCAGGTAACACTATACAAGGTTAGTTTAGACTGTCCAGTGCTACAGGTGCATTCTTACCACAGGCACACCAACTTGATAATTACCAGCAGCACACCAGCTTGATGCTTACCCAGAAACTGGTAAAATATCTTTAATCGTGTTTGTCTGTGTTCTTTATAAAGTTCATATCTCCGCTACCTGGCATTACTTTTTATGACATTCATGGTCCAGTCCGACAAATTCCCATTTATGTCAGATCCAGTCCTCATTACAAATGAGGTCGACTCCTCTGCTCTAAGGTAACAGTTTGATCCATGAAAAGCAATTGGAAAGTTTACTATTGCACCTCAAAATGTTGAACCCTCAGCTAGTTTTAATAGAAGCAAGTACATGATAAAGTACAAACCAAGCTTTTTTTAATAGATGTGGATTCAAAGACTGATTTCCCAGAAGCCACTGCTCTGCCCTTGCGCTTCCCTTTCCCCCCGATTACATTAGTAAATTTCCCACTACTTGCTGTGCGGCGGCATTTTGCCCCGCAGCTTCACCTGTTCTCCCCCGCGTCAACTCAATCCTGTTTTTTGAAGATCGGGTAGACGCGGGAGAAATTGGGCGAAGGGGTGGGGCAACATGCAGCCGCGCAGGAAGTAGAGGGAAATTAACTAATGTAATCAGGGGAAAGGGAAGCATGAGGGTGGAGCAGCAGCTTGTGGGAAATGGGTGAAAGAATGTAAAAATCTGCTTCTATCAGTGACATTATGGCATATGACACCTTTAATGCATCGACAAAACATTCTCAAGCATGAAGGTTTCCCTATTTACTTCAAGGGACAAACAGTCCAACATGCACATCTAGGATTACCATTCTCCTGGTGGGGGTGAGGGATCCCCCCTTTCATGGGCTCCTGCCTGCCAGCAGCCAGCTGGCTGGTGAGAGGAAATCCCCCCCCCATAGTGACATCATATGAGACACACTGACATCACCTGGAAGTGACATAGGCACATGGGAGGGGTGACGTTCTGTTTTTTGGACAAAACTCTGGTTTGAGGATGATTTTATCATAGAGTTTCACCCAAAAACCAGAGCGTCACCCCCACCATCATGGCATGCCTACATCACTTCCAGGTGACATATGCACATCATGTGACATCGCCCAACTCCTGGAATGCCCCCCCCATCCCTCCACTTAGGCCAGTGGCACGACAATCCAACCTGGCAACCCTATGCACATCTCTGTCCATGGAGAGTCCCTCCACTGAAGTGAGCAGGGAATCCTTGTGTGGACTGGATTCACCAGAACACTTCTGCAGATGGAAGGATTTCCGCTCATTTTTTGCCTTCCCCTCCTGCTGCAATTCCAAATGCATCCAAGATGCTGTTTTTCAGAGTTCCCAATTCCCGCAGAAGCAGTATTTTCAGGGGCATGGAGAGGAGGGATGTAAGAAAGTAAGGACCCAGGGGCAGAAATTTTAATGTTCACAGAAATGCTCTGGTGGATTCAGGCCTGTGTGTGCATATGAGGACATCCATGGACCTCAGGCTTTGTATTCTTTAACTTTTAAAGGAAGATTCCCAAAGACCTGAAGTTGGAAGCATAACACTGTTATGAAACAAGCCAACAGATACTTATCATACTCATAAAACTATTGGTTTGATTTTTAACTCAATTTTGGCTATCGCACAAACTGAATAATCCACTTTCAATTCATTTTCAATGCACTTTCCAACTGGATTTTACTGTGTGCACTGGCAAAATCCAATTCAAAAGTGCACTGAAAGTGGATCAAAAGTGGATTATTTAGTGTGACTGCAGCCTTTGTGATAAGACCAGAGGTCATTTCGGGGGGGATCGCGGGGGATCGCAGTTTCCCCGGGTGAGGTACGGGGCGGGGCACATGACGAAGCCCCGCCCCCTGCTTCCGGCCCTCATTCAGCCAGGAGGAGGCAGGAGAAGAGGGAGGGTAAGTTGCTTCCTCCCTGCCTCTCCCCACCCCTGCCTGCCGGGGGCCAGGGAGGGCCTTCGCGGGGCTTCCTTGCACTCCCGCCGGCCTTGCAGGTCCACCGCCGGGCCCCTCATGGGGCTCAGCAGTGGAGCTGCAAGGCCGGCGGCCAGGACTGTTGGGGGTGGGGGGGTGGCCTTATGACACACTTCCGGTGATGTCAGGGGGTGTGGCATATGCTAATGAGTTATGCTAATGAGTTCCCCTAGCTCTTTTTCTACGAAATGACCCCTGGATAAGACTTTAAATAACACCTCAAAATATATTATACAAGAATCACATTGCTAGTTGCCCTGTAACATTAATTAGATATTCCTTGTTCTGTACTGTGTGACTGGGATTCAGAGCAGGAGCCCTAAATAAAATGCTTACCCATATATCCGAGCAAACAATTAAAGGAGGCACACACCATTCAGCTCATGCAACTTCCTTCTATGTCTCTTGAAATTAATGTCTGCCGAATTTAACTGGTTAAAACATTTGATAGATTGCATTCTCCAATGTAAGGTGATTTAAGATAAAATGCACCAAGGTTTTGTTTCAAGTTGTGTTTTTTCCCCGTTATCCACAATAACTGTAGTCACTGTTTTCTTCAGTTTAAGCCACAATCATGTCAGATTTACAGTGCAATCCTAAACAGAAATACACCCTGCTAAATCCATTGACTTTGATGGATTTAGGAGAATATAATTCCATTTAAGACGGCACTGTTGGTACATTTATTGGGATGTCTAAATTGTCAAGTGCTCAGGCAAAGGGACCATTGTTTTCACTTACGCCTACTTTCATAAATAGCGCGTGACTTCTCATACAGCTCATATGGGTCAGGTTTTCTTGGGTCAAAGGCCTCTGTGGAATCAGGAAAAGAACTCCTGTGCAGGGTGGATGGGAAAGGAATATTCTGTGGTATAGCTGGAGCAGATAAACTTGTCTGAGGACTCCCTTGATTCTCCCATCGTTCCATCATCTACAATAAAATAGAAACAAAGAAACATTAGGCAGGATCTGTATCATGTTTTTCCTACAGGTGAATAATAAATATTAACATGGTTAATGGTTAGAGGGACAGACTAGGATCTGGGAGACTGAGGTTCAGATCCCCACTCTGCCATGGAAGCTTGCTGAGTGACCTTGGGCCAGGCATTCTCAGCCTTCTCTACCTCATAGGATTGTTGACAAAATAAAATGGAGGACAGGAGAATGATGTAAACCACTTTGGGTACATATTGGGGAGAAAGGTTGGGTATAAATGAAGTAAGTAAATAAATAATCAATAGGCAAATCATATTTTGTACTTTAATATTTGTCATTGCCTCTCTCATTATACACCAGAACCATTGCAACAACCCAAAGTTTTATGATTTCCATATATGTGTGGCAGCTGCACCAGTGAAGTGTAAAATGAATGCATAAAAGAAAGACAGCTCCATGCTCTGATTTGGACGGACAACTGCTAAATAAAAAACTGTTTGATTTAGATGCATCTACAGCTTCAGCTCCGACTGACGCCATGACCTGGAACACTCTGTGATGGAGAACCAGCCAGCTCCATTGATGGAGAGCTGAAAGATCGATCAGGGATCTGCACTCAGCCCAAACCATATGGTGATGTAATCCAGGAAGAACAGTGGCTGTAACATGGTTGGTGGAGAGACAGGAGAAGCCCTGATTGTCAGGGCACCTGGAGTTGGTGCAAGCCAACAAGGAGAATAGGTTGAGCAGCTCCAGAGGTTTCACAGGAAGAAGGACCAAAACAGGAAACAGCCAGCTGCTGGGCATTAAAAATCCTGCTCCCCAGTGCCAAAGACGCTGCCTTTGTGGATGGGGTATACCAGACATGAGGATGATGATCAAGGTTTATTTTAAGCCCACTCCCTTGAGAACTGAGGCCTAGGTAGCTACTCATCAAAGAAGTACACCTTATCAAAGTTATAAAACACTTGTAAAGCAGAAAAGTTAGGTCTCTTTTTATATTTTTTTAATTTGAATTTTGCCCCAAATTGTCCTGGGACACATCTTTGTTTATTTGCCATTCCCAGAACTGCCAGTTTGAGGATTAATTTATTTTAATAAAGTATGCCACTTAGCTTCCTGATCACTGCACCACTGGACTAATTTTTACTAACAACCACCTAGCATGCCATGCCCACTAATAGTCTGAAACAGAAATGCATTTAGGGTCACTATGCTATTTTTATTATTTTCAAGACAATTAAAAGTCATACATCTACCAGGAAAAAGATAGCCAGGCTTTGACTGCTCAGAATTATGAAGGTGATTCCTAGTTATTTCAAACTTCAGAAAACTTTGCAGGCTTTTATCTTGACATCATACTGAGAGAAAAAGCATCTCTGCTTCCCAAAGAATTTTCATCTCACATTATCTCACTTGGCTAATTCTCCTTGCTTTGCAAGTGCTTGGCAAAATTAGCTACATGAGATAATGAGACATAAAAGGCTATAGGCTGGGAACAGTTCTCTCCTTTTCAGTTTGATGTGAAGGAAAACACCTCCAAGCATTTCTCAGGGGAGGACTGTATGAAGGGCGCTATCAGAATTTTCAGGTCATAGCCCAGCTAAGCCATGTGGGGAATGTAGCACTTTCTCTCTTACAGAGAAAACAAACATTCTTCCAAACAGTAGTCCAAGCATAAATTAAAAATGGATAGGGGAATATATTAATAGAAAAAGGGCACAGAAGTGTGTACCTCATTAAGCAGGCAAGAAGAGAGGGAAGCATTTAAGCTTTCCCATTCTCTCAAGAGTGACTGGTCAGGTGCACTGTATTTCATTGGCTATAATTACCTCACAAGTCTACCTTTTTTTCCTAGCTAGATAATGAATATCTGTGCTTGTGGCTTTGCCCAAGGCAATCAGGTTCTATTGTAACCCATTTGCCTCTGACTAATTGTGTAGAGTAATGCATTACGAATTTTGCTGAGCCGACTGAAAGACACCAGGAGGATTATATATCACGAATAAATATTAATTAGTGAACTGTTATTGCACTGAATTCTTAAGCATATAAGCCACTGTATTGCCAAGAACAAATAATAGAGCCAAAGCTTACAGCACAATCCTAAATATATTAATCTGGAGGTAAAGTTTAAGAACATCAGAAGTGAGGCAACTGGGTACTGTAAACATGGTCTTTTTCATTGTGGCACCAAGAATTTGCCATAACTTCTCCAGACATGTTCATCAGATGCCAATTTTATTTTTCTGTTATAGACCCCCCCCCCCATCTTTTCTGGCATCAAATTTGAGAACTCAGTGTGCCAGCTGTGACAACTTTCAGAACTTTTAATTATGGTTATAAAGCAGTTTAGGTAGAAAGGCAGGATATACATGGTTTAATATATAAATAAATAAGTCCTATTGAGTTCAATAGCATTTACTTCTTGGTAAGTATATTTTAGGCTGTAGTTTAGTGCACACTTACTTGAAATGAAGCTGTTATGAAGAAATGAACATTCTATAAAAGATTTACTGTTTGATCATACATGGCCCCGGGCACACGGGCCGGCTGAAACGCGGCTACGCAGAGCCGCTCCAAACCTGAGACGCCGCGGCGGGATCCCACGGATCCCCTAGCCGCGGCGCAGCACTCCCCGGCACGCTCAGATGCCGGGGAGGAAAAGTCAGAGGGGAGGGGGGAGGCTGCCGAACTGCGCATGCTCGGGCATGCGCAGTACGGCTGGGGGCCGGGATGCGGCGGCGCAAGGACGCGCCACCGATCCCACAGCCCTGCCTGCGCCGCACCAATGGATGCAACCACCTAGAGAGGTGGTTGTTTTTTGTGGCGCAGTTTGGGCCGTTGGGACGGATCAGGGACGGAGACGGCACGCTCGCCAGATGTTGAGGTGAGATCGCGCCTGTTTGCTCCGCCCCAGTTCCGTCCCGCTCCCGGCCCAAATGGGCTCGTATGAACGGGGCCCATATACTTAGAACTAATTATACAGCCTGTGGGGCCTAAGGCTTTAATCTGGCACTTGGCTCTGCCAGGTACAACTGGCTCCCCCTCCCCTCCTTCGTGCTTTGCCTTGCTACAGTGGGTGTGTCTTTCTTCTTCGTTTTTGCTGGGCTCCTTCTGCTTTGGCTCTCCCAGGTGCAACAGAATCCGCCTCCCCCTCATTTCCTCCCTGCTCTACCTTGCTACAGTGGGTTTCTTTCTTTCTTTCTTTCTTTCTTTCTTTCTTTCTTTCTTTCTTTCTTTCTTTCTTTCTGTCTGTCTGTCTGTCTGTCTGTCTGTCTGTCTGTCTGTCTTCTGGGCTCCTGTTTTTGCTCTGCTAGGTGCAACTGGCTCTCCTTGGTGCTTTGCTTTGATACAGTGGGTGTGTCTTTCTTTTTTGCTGGGCTCCTCATGCCTTGGCTCTCCCAGGTGCAACTGGCTCTGCCTTCCCCTCGTTTCCTCTCTGCTTTACATTGCTACAGGGGGTATGTGTGTTTCTTCCTTTCTTTTTCTTTTTTGCTGGGCTCCTTCTGCTTTGGCTGTGCTGGCTGCAACTGGCTCCACCTGCCCTTCACCTCCTCCATGCTTTCACTTGCCACAGTGGGTCTGTATTTCTTTCTTTCTTTTTTGCTGGGTTCCTTCTGCTTTGGCTCTCCCGGGTGCAACTGGCCCTGCCTCCCCCTCACTTCCTCCCTGCTTCACCTTGCTAAAGTGGGGATGTGTGTTTCTTTCTTTTCTTTTTTTGCTGGGCTCCTTCTGCTTTGGATCTGCTGGGTGCAACTGGCTCTGCCTCCCCCTCCCCATCTCCATGCTTTCCCTTGCCACAGTGGGTCTGTGTTTCTAATTTATTTTATTTTTGCTGGGCACCTTCTGCTTTGGCTCTCCCAAAGCGTTTCTGTTTTTGTTTTTTGCTGGGCTTGTTCGTGTTGACTTTAGATTGGGGGAGAGGGGTTATGGCTCAGTTGAAGAACCTCTGCTTGGCATGCAGAGAATCCCAGTTTCTATCCCTGGCACCTCCAGTTAAAAGGACCAGGCTGTGTCTTGTGAGAAAGACTTCAACCTGAGATCCTGGAGAGCCACTGTCACCCTAAGTAGACCTGAAGAGGGGGGAGGAAGCTTGCAATGCCCAGCCATTTCATGTTTTCTCCTGGGCCATAGGCTCAGAGCATTGACCATGAGAGTGGGCTAGGGAAAGGGTTTGCTCCTCACTCCAGGCAGCATAGGGGCATCAGCCCAGTGCTGCACTGCTGGCTCTTCAGTCTGCCTATGTGGATTTTCCTCTGCCTCTGGGGCCTTGCGGTGAGGGCACACCAACTTGATGCTTACCAGCAGCACACCACCTTGATGCTTACCCAGAAACTGATAAAATATATTTAATCATGTTTGTCTGTGTCCTTTATAAAGTTTATATCTCTGCTACCTGGCATTACTTTTTACGACACACATGGCCTGGCCCAACAAGTCCCATTTATGTCAGATCCAGTCCTCATAACAAATGAGTTCAACACCCCTGTTATACAGGGCAAGGTCCGATAGAAATTCCATTAATCTAATTAATTCTCATCTATGGGAATGAAGGAAACATAAAAGTGGTTAGTTTTAGCTGGATCATGCCCTAGGAATGCAAAGTCTGGGATGGGAGACCTCCTGCCCCCAACTCTTGTTCCCTGCTGCTACTCTGGTGGCTCACAAGAGAAAGTACAATGCCATTGGTGGAGTGTTACGTCACTTCTGGAGAAAACTCAGAAATGATGTCACTCTGCTCTAGGAATCACTGGAAACTCTATGGAAGTGATGTAAAACTGTTCACCAGTGTCTCCTCCATGTCTCTGCCCCCCCCCGACTCCCACCAGTTGCTAGTCATTTGCTGGCAGCCCTATCATGCCCTCACATTCTAACGCAGAATTTTTAAAAAAACTTACAGGCTTTGGAGTCTTCCAAGGTGAAAAGAATCCTAAAACAAAAGGGGAAAAAAGCTTATCAGTGCATCTGTGTTTTATTGATATGTTCCAGATTGGCCAACATAATTTTTTTCCCCCCCTGTCAGTTCAAATGTGCATTTTTGTTATATTTAGATGAGAATTGCACACATACAATGGATGATGCATCTAGAAGAACATTAGTGCTGCTGAACAAAAGCATAACATTGTAGTTTGCCAGAACTTTTCCTTAGTGAAGTCACAAATGCATTTGCCATTACCTTTTAAAACTGTGAGGTCTGGCAAAAATTGTCCAGTTGGTGACTCTGACTGATCATCAGACAATGAAAGTCACTAGAATGATTCCCATATATTTTTATTGGGCTCCGTATAACTGATTTAAAGATATCTACCAAAATAGCACTTGACGCAATGAGCAACTCTATCTTACCATAAATGGCTGCATTAAATTAATTATTTCATCCCCATTAAAAACCAGAGATGAAGGGGATATAGGGATTGTATGAATGAGCCTCTAGCTCCTACTAGGCATTTTCAGCTTGCACCAAACCATGATTTGGCAATATGACTGAATCAAATGAGTTGGCGAGGGTTACAGTTGGCAACTCTGGGTTGGGAAATTCCTGGAGATTTGGAGTGGAGCTTGGGAAGGGTGGAGTTTAAGGAGGTGTAGGACCTCAACAGGTTATAATAACCATAGGATCCACTCCTCTAAGTAGCCATTTCCTCCAGGGGAAGTGATCTCTGACATCTAAAGTTGTAATACCAGGAGATCACTAGGACCCACATGGAAGTTTAGCCACATATAACACCCACCAAGGGATGATCATCAACAATTCACAGCTTATATATGATCAAAACTGTATATTGCATTCATTAAAGTACACAGATGTGTTAGTGGTCATAACCCAATAGACTGTATAAAGAAGAAGAGAAGAGGAGATTGGATTTATACCCCTGCCCTTCACTACTTAAAGGAATCTCTGAGCAGCTTACAAGCTCCTTTCCCTTCCCCTCCCCACAACAGACACCCTGTGAGGTAGGTGGGGCTGAGAGAGCTCTGACAGAAACTGCTCTTTTTCAAGAACAGCTGTGCCAGAACTATGGCTTGCCCAAGGTCATCTAGCAGGTGCAAGTGGAGGAGTGGGGAATCAAACCCGGTTCTCCCAGATTAGAGTCCGCGCACTTAACCACTACACCAAACACTTATCCAATAGATAGTTCATAACAAGCATTACTTACAAAAAGATCGTGTTCAAAACCAACAGTAGGCTCCTCTGTAATTCCATACATAAATAGTGTCCATAGACCTCCAAACAGAAAGCAACTGCAGTAGAAGACGCCCACTGTGGAAAGAATAACAGCCGTACGTCTCTCCCAGGTATAAATCAAGACATTTCAATGATCTTCAACATTGGCTGGTAAAACTGAACCCGAGTTCCAAAATAACATAGGCACAGCTCAATAACTTCAATGGAATCCTAGGGTTATTCTTTCCACAGTGGGCGTCTTCTACTGCAGTTGCTTTCTGTTTGGAGGTCTATGGACACTATTTATGTATGGAATTACAGAGAAGCCTACTGTTGGTTTTGAACATGATCTTTTTGTAAATAATGCTTAATTGTTATGAGCAATTTTTTGGATATGTGTTTATATATTCTACTGGGCTATGACCACTAACCCATCTGTGTTCTTTAATGAATGCAATATACAATTTTGATCATTTTTAATTTTTTATTTATCATAATCATTAATCATAAATAGTTGTGAATAGTTGATGGTCTTCCTTTGGTGGGTGTTACTTGTGGCTATACTTGTAAGCTAAGGGTTCCCTATTGTCTTTGGCCCACGTGGAAGTTGGCAGCCCTAATAAAGGTTGACTTCCTCTGCATTCCCATTTGCCTATTAATTTGCTTCTATGAAATACAGCCTAGATTTTTCATCTTTCTAGTTCTTTGTAGTTCAAAAGAATATGAAATAAAATCAAAATTATGCATCTTAAGGGGATGTTTATTGTGTGAAAACAGTGGTTTCTTAATACCCATTACTGTTTGCAATACTTGGAAGTACAAAAAGTTTGAAAGTCAATGGTTATACAGCAAACATTATTAGGTCAATTAAAGTAGTTTTAACTTACACTGTAAAATTAGAATTCAGAAAATGATTCTGAGGTCTGATCCATGGCAACTGCCTTCTTACACCTCTACAATAACATCCGTGTTCAGGGATCAGGAGTGTTGGATGAAGGATCTGATTCCTTCCAGTGACCTTTCTTTTGGAGGCAGGAAATACTTCCATGAAAAGGAGTCAAAGCTTTATAGTTCTACTTTGCAGCCATTGCTGAAATGGTATGGGATCATATCACAAAGACTACTCCTCTGTGTAACAAGCCCTAATAGTAATCTCTTTTTAAAAGATAAACCAAAACAAGCATACCATTTCCCTCTTTCCCACATTTTTAGCTGAAATATGAAAGTCAATTCACTGTATTTCTACTCTCACTTTTATTTCCAGCATAAAATATTCAGAGATGTACTTTATTTCTCAGATAATTCCTGCCCCCAACATTTTAGTCTTTTACTGCTCACTTATCACAGTCAGCAGAATTACAGATATGTAGACTAGAACCATTTGCATAACAACACTGAGTGTTTTTATTTCATTTAAGAGCTATAGCCTGCCTTTCCACAAAAAAATTACCTGGCAGTTAATGAAGAACAATAGTATTCAATTTGACAGCAACAAATCAATAAAAAATCTGCTACAATAAATGAGTGAGACCCAGCTTTTCAAACAAAGATTACTCCTTCTCTTAATGCGCAGCTACATAAAACCATGTTCCCTATCACCTGAAAGAAAGAAGAGTGGGAACCAGAAAAACTATTTTAAGGGACAGGTCTAGCACCAATAGAAGAACACTTTGCCCTAGTCTCTATCCACCTGCCAGCAGGGGATGCTCAGGCACAATGTGACTGTGTATGATGGTGGTGGGCCAGAAACAATTCTGCTGCATTGTGCCTCAGAAACAATAACAATGGGGATGTAGTTCTTTAGAAAAAGGTACCAGGGTCCAAGTCTACTGATCTAAGGATCATCATTGAGACAGCTCTGAGGTTGGGGGCAAGGTTAGGCCACAGAATGTGGAATGGATGCAAGGGTGTAGACTTTCCAATTTCCCGGGGGGGGAGCTGGGGCTGGGCCAGAGGCATTGCTTTGCTAGGAGCAAGGGTGGCTCCCGGGGGAGGCTGAGCACCTTCCTGAAAATTTCAGCGGGGGCTGAAGCCCCGCCGCCCCCATGAAGATTACGCCAGAAACACACAACCCTTGCTTTCCAGTTTGATTTATGACGGCCCTATGAATTAATGACCTCCAAAACATTATATCATTAACAGCATTGCTCAGGTCTTGCAAACTGAGGGCCATGGTTTCTTTTATTGAGTTAATCCATCTCAAATTGGGCCTTTGTCTTTTCCTGCTGCCTGCAACTTTCCCTAGCATTATTGGCTTTCCAATGAGTCTTGTCTTCTTATAATGGGATGAAAGTATGATAGCCCCAGTTTAGTGATTTTAGCGTCTACTAACAGTTCAGGCTTGATTTGATCTAGAAACCAATTATTTGTCATTTTGGGTCTCCATGGTATCCATAAAACTATCCTCCAACAACACATTTCAAAGGAATCAACATTCTTCCTATCAGCTTTCTTCATTGTCCAACTTTCACACCTATACATCCTAATGGGGAACACTGTGGCATGAATTATCTTGATCATGGTCCTAGTGATACACCCTTACACTAAAGAATCTTTTCTAGCTCCTTCATGGCTGCCCTTCCCAGTCTTAATCTTGTTCTGATTTCCTAGTTGCAGTCTCCCTTTTGGTTGATGATGGAGCGAAGGAATTGAAAATCTTGAACAATTTCAGTTTCTTCATCATCAACCTTAAAGTTCTGTAACTCCCAGTAGCCACTACGTTTGTCTTCTTGATATTCAGCTGAAATCCTGCTTTGGCACTTTCTGCTTAAACCTTCAGCAGTAGTCATTTCAAGTCTTTACTATTTTCTGCCAGTAATGTGGTGTCTCAGATTGTTAATGTTCCTTCCACGAATTTTCACTCCACTTTCATCTAAATATACTCCAGTTTTCTTTATGATAAGTTCTGCATACAGATTGAAGAGACAGGGAGATAAACTACATCCTGGTCTGACAGCTTTGCCAATTGGAAACCATTTTATTTCTCCATATTCTGTCTTAACAACAGTCTCTTGTCCAGAGTACAGGCTGTGCATCAAAACAATCAAATGTTGTGGCACACCCATTTCTTTTAAAACCAACCATAGCTTTTAATAATCCACATAGTCAAAAGCTTTGCTGTAACCTACAAAACACAAGCCAATTTTCTTCTGAAATTCTCTTGTATGTTCCAGTAACCACTGTAAATTTGCAATATGTTCTTTGGGCCTCTCTCTTTTACTGAATCTAGCTTGAATATCTGGTATTTCTCATTCCATTTCTGTCACCCTTTAATTTTGCTTCTTGTCTGTTTTTAGCAATTTATGACATCCATAGAGGTTTTGCATTTCTTTTGGCTATGGGAATAGTGTTTGCACACTATTCTTTAATAATATATCTGGTTTTAACCTATAGTTTTTCTGGTTTATGTTCACTTGAATTTAGCAATGAAAATCTATTCCTTACATGGTCTTTAAACTCTTCAGGAATGTTGCTTAGATTTTATTTTAGTACTATGTATGTTTTGGTGTTTTTCTTCAGCTTTATTCTAATTGTTGATATTAACAATGCATGGTCTAGACTTCCGGTCTGTGGCTCGGCGATGGCGGAGGCTCTCCCCTGATGCTGGGGAGGCATTCCGCGCTCTAGGGGTGTTGGGAGGGGTGCCACCTCAAGTGACACCCCCAGGTGAGTCTCAGTGAGAGGCTCCGAGCCGGGGGCGCGTTAGGGGGCGACCTCTTCGATGGCGCAATGCCGGAGAATTGAGGTGCTCCTTTTTGCCCCAA